TGGCACGCTCACCAGTCGCAGACCAGATCTTCATCACGGACGTGACTGTCAACCTGCAGACGGTCACCATCAGGGAGTGCCGCACAGAGAAGGGCTTCTTTAGAGCGCGCGAGACAAAATCCCTCGACGTAACGTAAACCTCGGCTATTTTTGGACCTTGTACAGATTTAGGTAGCTAGTATTTATTTAGTCTATAATTTGATTATATGACGTGTCGACGTGACCCCCATTCCTAATTGTGTAGGCCTAACTGGGGGGCGAGCGGTGACCTCACGCCAGGTACCTCAAGCGCAATAATTACCACCAATAAGTACATGTGAATAGGCAAATTATTGTCAATTGTTGAGAATAGATACCTTTATTATATTTGTTAAATTAATAAATAACGGCTGGTCGACGAAGCTTCCAGTAAGCACTTAACTTTATAGCTCTGTATGTTTGTAAATTAGATTTTTTATGCCTATAAACTTGTAATACATATGTAATAGTACCTAATTGTAGTACAGACGAAGAAAATGACGCTAAAACGAACCTTATCTGTTTTACTAATGCCTACAAAATGTATGTGAATACAATAACATCGAAAGTTTTAAATGTACAAAAGTGTTTGTTCCAAAGTCACCTTGGCGAGATTTATATTGTAAATATGTGCATATACGATGTACCTATGTATGTATATAAAACTGGCTATGTTGCTTTCGTATCTTTTTTATTGTTATACTCTCTACACTAAGGAGTCTGATTTTTATGGTAGAAATAAACTTACGATTGTACAAACTATTCCATTATTGAAATAATATAGAGTTCAATGAAATCTATTTTTCTAAATAAAACAATTGTAACATATTACTATATTAATAAAATAGAATCTCTATTCCTCATTTAGTTTATTAGAATATTTTATGAATGTGATTAAATGAATTGTACTGAACTCCTATGAGTTTCCACTGTGGCAACACTTGTGCTAACACATTTTGTTTTTCTTTGCTAAAGAAAATGTATGTAGCTTGTGTTTGTTCAATGGAAACCCATAGACTAACAATGAACTTTTTTAATTTCAATATCATAAAATATAAATGAATTCGTTTTACATTATTTTGTTGTTGTTATTTATGAAAACTTAATTTTAATGTACATTTATATAATGTGAACTTTATATAGCAAAATTGGATTGACCATGTAATGTGATAATTTGTGTTAAGTTAGGGAAAATTTAATTTATAAATGCATGGTTTTCGTTTTTATAATTTTTTTAATAAGCTGTATTTTATTTGTATTGTATATTAATATGAAGTTTTTACAATTTCGTTAATTTGAATCTATTTGTTTATATTTGCATTATTGATATTTGCTATATAAAGTTTACATTTTTTTTATTATTTTGCTAGTATTAGGTTATTTATGTATCCCCTGTGCGATATTCTGTAGACAAAGTCTATTAATATACTTTTATGATATTATCTGCAACATGAAGTTTGTATTTAAACAGTGTTTGAATTATAATTGTGGGTTTCAAATGTCAGTACAAATCCTGTTATATATTTTTTTCAAGAAGTCTGAAAATATACATTGTCATGTATATTTGTATACTTTGTCTTGTGTTTTCTAAGCTAGTGGAAATCCACGGTTCAATATGTTTAAAATAAACTGATTGTTTTAACTATTTGACTCAGTTTTTAAGTTAATTAAGTTTTATTGTAATCCTGAACGCTGCATGTGTTCCTTTTATTGTTATATAACTTGGTTCCTCGTAATATTTAGTGCTGTATTGTCATATTAACTTGTGTTTGTGACAAATGCATTAACGGATGAATTTTATGCTTATTTGTACATAATGTAAATATTGTATTGTAGAGTATCACTTGTTTTATAATGTGATAGACTTCTCACATTGTAGTCTGTAAATAAATGAGAATGATTTAGATTTGTCTTATTTTATTAAATAAAATTGTCACCCTATTATATTGCCTCTTATATTTTATGCCTGATGGTATTAATGAAATTGGTTTTGTCTGGACTAAGGCAAAAACTTTATAACAATTCACACGCTCCAACCATCTAAAGACTTAACGAAACTCTAGCCTAATTTACATTTTAACAAGTACAGTAGCGAGTAAGTAAGAGATTTATTAACGGTAAAGGAGCACACTATAGATCGAGAGTAGGATAGCAAGTAAAATAATAATGGAACCTACAACCATCTAGAACCTAGGTTTTCTTCAGTAATTTTTATTTTTACCGTTAATTCTAAAGCGTACTTGTATACAAAGTCAAAGAACATTACTTTTTTTTTTTCAAATATACGAAAAAGGCGGCGATATTGTCAATATATAGACGTCACGATAGTAGAAACTCACCGTTATACAAAAACAAGCAGTTATACAAGTCTTTTTAAACGCAGAAAAATAGATGGCGCTAAACAAAAAACATTAAATAAAATAAAAATTATCTTAAAGCAAATGTAATAAAACTATCCGTTTAGATGTTTTTAAAATGTAATTTGGACTTAACTGTATTGACAGAAGCACATAATTTTATAACATGTTCAGTAACAAGTAATGACAACACTAGATCTGTCAACTAACAAATCAATGTGCGCGTCGCAACATCTCGTCATCTCGCTACACTGCAGTATCAGCGACTCAAAAACGCTGTTTAGCAAACGATCTCACGATCGATCGCAAACTGTTCATACAGTTTGTTAGGATTTGTAGTTAACTTTATCGAATAAATCGTGCGATGGAGTGGGAGTGGACCAAAGACAAAACTTTGAAACTAATTGAATTGTTACAAGTGAACGCAAGCCTCTGGAACCCTTCGTTATGTGACACACGTAGAGAGAAACAGAAAAGAAAAGAAGAATTACGTGCTATTGCTGATATATTAGGAATATCTGTGCCTGATACAACGAAAAAGATACAGCATTTACGAACTCAGTACAATAGAGAATCTGCAAAAGAAGCGCGCGTTAACGCAGAGGATCCTAACGATAGATATGTCAGTAACTGGTACGCTTACGAATATCTTCATTTCATGAAAGATTCGAGTAAAGTCTACAAAATACTACAATCTGTAAGTATTGATAGATACATAGATAGATAAAGCCTTTATTTGCTACATATTACAATTTTTACAACTTATTAACAACAATATAAATAATAAAAGTAATTAAAAATATCTATGAAAATACTTTATTTTACTTATTTTCATAAGTATTGCTACATTGACTTTAAAAACAAATATATCATAACTAAAAGAAGCTCCCACTTATAAACATTGTTTTCTATACAAATTTTATTAAACTGATAAATTGCAATATGATCATGCTTACAATTAAAACAAATTAATATTTGAACTACAGGTGGATTTACCAGACAGCATATCAAGTCAAAGTGACACCACATCGGCATTGACAGACTGCAAACTTTTTAATTTATCCCCACCTCACAAAGTTGCAAGAACAGAGGTACTTCATCCAGTGAAATCAGAAATAGTACACCAATCATCACCGAGACATCGAGATGAATTTTCTGTGTTCGGAGAATACATCGCTAATGAGTTAAGATCATTAAAAGGTGAGAAAAATCTGCTTGTTGCTAAGAAAAAGATACAAGATGTTATATTTGAGGTTAAAATGGGTATGATGAATGAAGGGAGGGTAGAACAAAGTACTACTTGTACTGTATTTGCTCATGCTAGTCAGCCAAGTTCACTTCATTCAAGTAAATTGTATACAGCGCCTGTAATGACAGCACCACCTACGACTGGTATCGGTGAAATCATTATAAATGGGCCTTGCCATTATTCAAATTTTAAAGTTGATACCCAATAGCAGTGTCCTCCACTTCCCAACGGGGAAGTGGACAAAAATGATGGCTATGCTATTACAAATTAAGTGTACAATGTTTTGTCTTGAAATTTGTTAATAAAATGTAATTACTATTATTAAAATTGCAGTACATTGGTAATTTTTACTGTGAAACATTTTATAAATATTTGCAATTTAAACAAAGATGTTAACATTGATTTAAATTAATTAGGGTCCTAATGAAAGTGTACAGTTTGGCTAAATTTTGTATTTTGCCTGACAGATAACAGAGATAAGACTTATTTTAATATCAACAGAACATATTGTTTATTTATATACTTAAATGTAAGTATTTTTGTAAACATTTTAATCAAAGTGTTAATGATAATATTAAGGTTATATTTCTATATTTATAACAGCATACAAATAACATTTGAAAAACACTGTTATCAGTTAAAATCTCAAGCCAGAAAGAACAGATTTAAATTAAAGTCTTAAAAAATACTCAATAATTAAATGTAACTTTTTAATTTGTTGTAAGCTTTTAAATTTAATTTTTTGTAATTTAATATTGTAATATCTGATTTTATTCATTTTCTGTTGGTTTTCTATACAGAATGGTCCTCATATTTATACATATTTCAGGTCTATTTCTCTATTGTGTATTAATGTGTAAATATGCTCAGATTTCTTTAATCTAGTCATAAAACTTGTGTAATAAGATAATATGTGCATTGTGAATTTGTTGTATGAAAAAAAATCTTTAAAACATGGAACAAATTTTGCTTAATAGTTTTTATATTCTTAAATAAGGTCATTTTTTTTAAATATTAGTTCTGAAATATTTTATAGACTTAAGATATTTTTTTATATTCAGTAGCATAAACATTAAATTTGTTTATACATAAGACTTACTGATCTCGAAACATTTTTAAATGTTGAAAATAAATAGAAATAAACCTGTATATTAATATTTTATTTATATTTCGTAAATTCGTACCTTCTACAACATAAACTGTCATTTTTCCCGCCATAGCACTGTACTGTTGTATCAAAGATCAACAAACATGTTTGTATATTTTTTGAGAGTTGCTAAAAACAAATACTTTTCAATAACTTTTTATTTTTCGGTATTTTTAGGTTAAGTTCACAGTACCTTATTTTTGCAAAACTGTGGCCGTTATCCCCGAACTAAAATATATTTTTTTAGTCAATTCTTGAACGCATCCTAACGATGAGTATGACGTACAGTCGTATGCTCTTTGCATTATTTATTGGCGGAACATAGACGAATTTAAAACAAATAAACAAAGTGATTTTTAATAATTTTATGCAATAGATGATCTCCTTGTTAATATTTATTTTGTATTCAGTAGGGATTAGTTACGGGGTAGACAATGATACAATTACCCTTAAATGTAAGCAATGTAAAAAATTTGAACCATGCTGGGCAAATTTGGACACGAGAATATTACCAAAATGGTACGACGAAGCAAAAATTGGTATTTTCGTACATTGGGGCATTTATTCAGTACCCGGGTTTTCAGAATGGTTTTGGAATAACTGGGACGGTAAGACAAACTTTTCTAAAATATTGTTTCAAAATAACAAACCGATGTCTAAATTGTTTTGATACTCTCAGAAAAAGAAAGGATAATTCAGAAATTCATGAGCAACCACTACGCGCCAGGTTTTACTTACCAAGATTTTGCTCCTATGTTTAAAGCGGAATTTTTTGATCCTAACAAATGGGCTCATTTATTTGTTAAAGCAGGTGTAAGGTAACAATTTTAAATTACCCTTTAGTTTGTGCTTTGCTAGCCTATAATCTAGGTTAGGTCTAATGGGGGCTATCATTGAAATGGTCAAAACATTTTTGGAGTTTTGAAGAGGGCTAGCCTACCTACCTACACTACCCACGCTGTCAACAACCATGCCCTCTAGTAATTAAAAATAATAAAGAAATATCAAATTTCAAACAAAGTGAGAACCTAAAAAATATCATTTGTTCCTCAGATATGTTGTATTAACTACTAAACATCATGATGGTTTCTGCATGTTCCCCTCACGGCGCTCTTTTAGCTGGAACTCGTGCGCTGTCGGTCCCAAAATGGACGTAGTTGCCGAACTATCAAACGCTGTCAAACAAGTTGGATTAAAATTTGGTGTATATCATTCTCTTTTCGAATGGTTCAATCCTATGTTTAAAGAGGATAAGAGAAATCATTTTAAAACACTTTACTATTCTAATATGAAGCTTTGGCCGGAATTGAAACAGCTGGTGATTGATTACAAGCCATCGTTATTGTGGGCTGATGGGGATTGGGAGGCATATGATACTTACTGGAGGTCGACTGAATTCCTAACTTGGTTATACAATGATAGTCCGGTAAAAGAGGAGATTGTAGTTAACGACAGATGGGGTAAAGGCATTTCTTGTAAGCATGGAGACTTCTACAATTGTAAGGATCGGTATAACCCTGGTAAGTTTACTTTAATAACGGAAGTTACGAGAATTTAAAAGAAGATCGCAAAAAGAAATCAGTAATGTTTAAAGTTCTAGCGTCTGAAAAACACTTGGATATCATACTTCATAGTAATATTATAAATGCGAAAGTTTAGATGGAAGGAAGTTTGTTAGAGTTTGTAGCCTAAACTGCTTAACGGATCTTGATGAAATTTGGCATAGACGTAGAATGTAGTCTCGAAGAACACATAGGCTAGTTACTTTTGTTTTTTTTAATATCACGCGGACAGAGTCGCGGGCAAAAGTTAGTCAATTAAATTGTATGGATGCAAAGCTAATTAATAACCTAATAAATAATTGTTTGTTCCCGTTTTTAGGTAAGCTACAACCCCATAAGTGGGAAAATGCTTTCACAGTAGACAAAAAGTCGTGGGGATTTCGTAAGACGATGAATGCCAATGACACATTGACTATGAAGGAAATACTGCACGAAGTAGCCTCTAGTGTTAGTTGCGGAGGTAGTTTAATTTCGTTTTCTTATAAAAAAACAAAAAAAAACATTTTGTAGGTTATGCAGTGATCCTTTTTCGTAGGATCCATTCTTTATTCATTGTAAAGCTATAACTAAGTGCTTGTGAGAAGTTTTCAGATATCTTGGCAGCTTTTAACTTGTATTGAGTCATGAACACAATTTTAAGTGTAGCATTCAAGAGGACAACGCGCCGATAACCTTGGGTGTCCATATTTAAAAAATAAACTTATTGATATTTTTCACACGCTTTATAATAACGAGTTGTTTGACGAAACATGACAAAAATATTGCTATTTCTTTTTTTTTAAGTTAAAGACAGGGATACTAATATAGTATTTCGTTAGTAGAAACTCACATCCGCAGAGAAACATTCTTGTAATTCTTTCCAGGAAACGTCCTTATAAACGTTGGTCCGACGCAATACGGCACAATACCTCCGATATTCCAAGACAGATTGCTAAAGCTAGGTCATTGGCTGGAGATAAACGGCCAAGCGATATATGGTTCATCGCCTTGGCATTATCAGAACGATTCTATTAATCCCGACGTGTGGTATACATGTCAAAAAATCCCATACAATGCGATATACCCGACAGCAAAACCATTACTTACTGATACAGTATCTAAAATATTTGCGATCTTTCTAACTTGGCCTATTAGTAACAGAATCCTGTTAAAAGATGTGACAGGGTATATTCTGACATCTGTTTACGAAATTGTACTTTTAGGCAATGATGGTGATTTACCTGTGAGTATTAAATTCGAAAAAACTTAACACTACCCTACGTAAATAATTAGTAACTCAATTTAAGGGTGATAGTCTGAATTTGGAAGTCCTTTATTATATATATAATAAAATTGGATGTTCTGTTTGTATATGAAAAGAAAAATTCCAGATTTCGGGAAGAAGATGTATTTGCGTTGCTGATAACGAATATCGCATTTAATTTTTTTTTGTCTAGCGAGCCGCGTTTGTGTCAGATAATCTCCGAAACGGCTGGACTCTCACTGGAGGGTAGCTAATAGACGGGCATATTATAGGCTACTTTTTTTTTAAATTCCGCGGGTGGTCCAAATTAGCCCTATCAAAGTTTGCGTTGCTAAATAAATGTAGTTTTGAATTTGATAATTAAATTATCACTTTTTTGGATAACATCGTATTTCTTGCAGAGAGAAGTAAAAAACGGATTAACATATATCAAGCTTCCAGATAAAGCGACGGTCGCCGTCGAATATGCATGGGTATTGAAATTTACGCCTAAATAAAAAGCCCTAGCAATAAAACAAATAGTTATTGATGCAAGATTTATAAAAAAAAGTATTAAACATTTATTTTTTTGATTGTTTTTAATTTATGGTTACTTCTAATATAGGAACTTATTTGCAATACATAACCTAAAATAAACATATTAAAAACGATAAATATATCAGTTACCTTTGTTAAGATAAGAGTATGTGTTTGATGTTTGTTCTTTGAGTTTTTTTTTCTAAGTTATAATTCCCATTATACTCAAAGATAATAAATATAATTATTTAATATTCGTCCGCGACATATTTATATAACAAGCATTTATATTAATGATTACTTAACCCTCGCATTAAGTGAAGTGTTTATCGTCGATTAAGATTGCAATAGTACTTTTGCCAGCGACTCCGTCTGTGTCATTTTAAAGTAAGTCGGCCTACATTCTACATCTATGCCTAATTTCAATTAGATTAGTTAAGCCAGACACGTAATCACAAACATACGTCCATCTTTCACATCATACTTCATACTAATTTTATAAATGTGAAAGTTTAGATGGATGGATGGATGTTTGTTAGAGTTTGTAGCCTAAACGGCTGAACAGATTTTGATGAAATTTCGTATAGATGTTGAGGATGTTCACTATTGTTTTATTTTATTTGACGCGGACGAAGTCGCGGGCGAAATCTAGTTTATAATATTAATATGAAGTATAATTTATTGTACCTTATGTTCTAATTTAATTTATAGAAAATACAAAACAATAAAATATAACCTATGCTACTCATTGATAACATAGCTTTTTAATTATTAAAAGAATTTTTGAATTCGGCTCAGTAGTTTTTGAGTTATTTCGATACATACAAAAATGCAAATCTTCCCTCTTTATAATATTAGTATCGATATGTGCGTACAGTACTAAATAAAACTTTTACCAAACTTAACCAGATATTTATATAAATGTACGTATAATAATAAACAAGTCCCCTTGTTTGTACGATAACAATTCATCTACTATAAGTACCTACATCCGATAACGTACAAATGTGCTGCGTATCCTCATTGTGTTATTAGTTAATGCTCCGTGGCCAGTAACGCGACTTGTTTGTAGAATTAACTGTTATAATAGTGGAGAAAATACTTTATAAACTTCTATGGATTACATTTATATGGATTTCCTACAGAAAATGAGTAATTGAACTTCAGTTTGGTTTAATTTTTATGTTCTTAGTTCTACCAAGTGGTTCTAAAAAGGTAATTCTTAAAATTGTTTATTTTAAATGTTGAGTTGAAGTATTGTTAATGTCGTTTCTAGTTTTAAAAGGTAGAGTAGAAATTATTATTTACATTACGACCCTTAGTAAGTCAAACTTTATAGTTATACCGCATATCTCATTTCTGCAATCAAATGTGTCGGTCAATGGTCTCGTGATTCTCAAATTGTCCTAACATCCTGCTCCTATAGACGTAAGTGAATTTGTGACTTGATCAAGTATTTTTTTAATATTCCAGAGTCATGAAGATAATTCTATTGTGTATACTTGTGCTGTGTTCTGTGGTCAGTAGTTATAGTAAAATACAAAGTGGAGAATCCCGTCATGTAAACAGCCATCGTGTGTCAAAAAAATATTCGCCGGAATGGAAGGATCTAGATACGAGGCCATTACCCCATTGGTATGATGATTCAAAAATCGGTATTTTCCTACACTGGGGAGTTTATTCAGTTGTCGGTTTCTCTGAATGGTTCTGGAGTAATTGGAAAGGTATATTTACTTACACAGTTAACAAAACTTTTTTTCCCAACTTTCTCCTCTGTTCTATAAATGTTGTTTGATATTTTTTGTAGGTGGTGATGAAAAAATAAACAAATACATGAAGGAGCATTATCCTCCAGACTTCACATATCAAGACTTCGCACCGATGTTCAAAGCAGAGTTCTTTGACCCCAGCGAGTGGGCCGATTTATTTTTAAAATCTGGTGCTAGGTGAGCGTTATTTACCAAGCGGTTTATTCTCTTAAATGTGTACTCTGATTTTTCTCGTTAATTGCAAAGCGCGATGGTATCCTTGAGGGTTTCGTTTTGTTACGTTTTATTAACTAACTATTATTTTGTAGATACATTGTTTTGACAAGTAAACATCACGATGGCTTCACAATGTTCCCTTCACATCGTTCCTTCAGTTGGAACTCTTACGATGTCGGTCCAAAGCGGGACATAGTCGGAGAACTGTCGACCGCCGTGAGAGCCGCTGGCCTAAAGTTCGGTGTTTATCATTCACTATACGAATGGTTCAATCCGATATATGAAGATGATAAGAAGAATAACTTTACCACACGAAACTACGCCGAAACAAAATTGTGGCCGGATTTAAAGCAACTGATTAACGATTACAAGCCATCAGTTCTCTGGTCAGATGGTGATTGGGAGACGTACGATACGTACTGGAAGTCAACAGACTTCCTCGCCTGGCTGTACAACGAGAGCCCGGTGAAGGATGAGATTGTAGTGAACGATAGATGGGGTATTGGGATCCCTTGTAAACATGGTGATTTCTACAATTGTGCTGATCGGTATAACCCTGGTAAGTTTAAACAAATACACTAAATTGGATGAACAGATTTCTTTATTAAATCAACTATTCACTTAAGTACAATTATTTGTCTTATTACTTTTAGACTTTTAAAACGCAACATTTATGTATTAGATATTTTTGTTCTATTAGGTTCTCTACAGAACCATAAATGGGAGAACGCGTTCACAGTGGACAGCCGGTCGTGGGGCTTCCGCAAGCCGATGACCCTCAACGACACACTCACCACAAAACAAGTGCTCTATGAAGTTGTATCGACAGTCAGTTGTGGAGGTAATTTCTATAATTATAAAATAAACAAATTTAATTTCTAACATCGTTATGCAACCAGCATATATCGGCGAAGAAATTCAAATATATTTGTGAAGTCAACAAACCAGCGTGGTTGACTATGGCCTAGTCATCCTAACTTAGGGTAGGCTCCGAGCCCCTCGGTGGGGACGTATAATGAGCTGGTGATAAATGAATCTTTCTATAAAATTAGGTACAACTGATTTTCGACTAACAAATTGATACAATCACTTAGAACCATAACGTTTTACCAAATTTCTTTCAACATCGCGTATATTTCAGGTAACGTTTTAATAAACGTGGGTCCAACACAAGATGGCACCATAGCGCCGATATTCCAAGAAAGACTTCTAGATCTCGGCAGTTGGTTAGAAATAAACGGCGAAGCGATATACAGTACTTCACCTTGGTTACATCAAAATGATTCTTTAAACCCAGATGTATGGTACACTTGTCGTAAAACCAAACACAGTCATAGACATCCCACCGCGATACCAAAACCATCTGATAACATTAGAGCTATTTACGCAATAGTTCTTCATTGGCCGACTACAAACATCCTTCTTGTTAAGGATCTTTCGACTTATCTACATAATGGAGTTTACAAAATCGAGCTCTTGGGCAACGAAGGACTTATTCAAGTAAGTAAAGTAGGTTAAGTGTGAGATTAAATCACTTATTTAGATTAATTTATTATCCAAATGCCTTTAAAATTGCCTTGAAAGTAATTTTTACGATTTATATTGTAACCATGAAATGTAGCAGGGTTTTTATGGTTTATAAAATATTGGCTCGATTACAATAGGAGCGTGGTAAATTATTATTATTTGGTTTATTGTTAATGTAAATTGTGATAGTGGCCTTTTTATTATTGGTTAATGAGAAATATGCATTAATTTGTTTCACTATTATTATTGTTTTTTTTTCAGTGGAATATCAAGAATGGCGTAACCAGTATCGAACTTCCAGACAAGGCTAAAGTACGTTCAGAAAAGGCATGGACTCTGAAGATGAGTCTTAAATAATTAATTTAACTTTATAGATATGTAAATAAATGTTTAAAAATAATATAGTGCGCTCTTTAACCAAATAGAGTAGACACATACAAATAACTATTTTGTTACTATAACCAGCTTTAAAATTGTCGTTGAAAAATACGATTTTTTAGACGAATGTATAATTTAAAACTGGTATAGGCAATTTCTTACTTGTTTTGTTTTGTAAATGATTGTTTCAAAAATAAAATACGAAAAAAAACTTCAAACAAACGTGTATTTATTTGCGTTAAGTATACAATGAGTTTCCACTGCCGAAACACAAAGGTATTGCTATCGTGGTTTTTACATAGAGTTGTCAATGTTTCGAAGTTATTTGCTAGTGAAAACCCACCGTATAGGTTCTTATGGTCGTTTATATAGCGATATTACAAGCTAAATATTGTGCAATCGAAAGTTACACAATGTAGGCGTAAACATCGATTATTTATTAATATAAGAGACACATAAGTTTTAAAAACATTGAATAGGTGACTGATATCAAACATCGATAATCGGAAACTATTTCCCATGAGTTATAATTACATATTACATTAAAATGGACCTCATATAGTTTAAAATCGCACGATTTATCAAAGATTAAACAAATAGCACAACAAAACATTTCTGATATATGCGCAATATTAAAATTATTTATAACGATGTTATAATTTACAAATAAACAAATTATTTAGAAAAGTATTCTAACATTAAGAGCGTTGCCAACGTTGTACAAGAGCAGGTAGTAAAAAAATTTATTCCAATTTAGTCTATACATATAAGTTGGAGTGTCTGTTATATAAAAGAAAAATTCCAGATTTCGGGATTGTTTTTGCGTTGCTGGACGAAAATCGCATATCAATTTTTTATTGTCTGTCTGTCCGCAAGCCTCATTTGTTCCAGGTAATCCCCGATACCATAGAATAAGCAATTAACGCTTATTTTACATTTTTCGATTCTCTATAGGGAAAGTAACTGTGAACACAAGTGGCGACGCCCATTACATCTAACATTTAACTAAAAAGTAGTACAAAACAAATAAACGTAACTTCGTTCGGTCGAAACATTACAAACTGTAATATTGTTGTCTCTGTTTTTCATAGAGAGTGACAGAGATAACTATATACATACTAAGAAAAACGAATGAGAGTATTGATTGTAATTTGAAGTAATTCTAAATACATTGAATGGATCTATATTTCTTTTTAAATTTTGTTAGAGGTTAAAGGAACTTGCAAATAAGTCTAACAGCCTGACAAATTTACGCGGTATAAAGTTCAACTTAGAAATAAACTCAGTATAAGCAAAATATGTAAAAATATTTGCTTATACTCAGTTTATTCCTAAGTTTTCGTAGGCTGTATGAGTCTAGAAGCATGTTTTAACACATGCTATCTCTGTTCTTTCAATATAAAAATAAGGGATGCCAATATATGACGTCACGTGTCAAAACCGTTACAGTAAAGAGAAGTTATCAAAGGTCGAGGTCAAACAAATTACGTACCTTATATCTATGAATATTATATACAAGTGATATATACATTTAGCGTACAAAAATAAACAATGCAATATTATAGGGAGATATATAAAAATATTTTAATTTCTCGAGTGCGCAATGAATGATTTTTTAAGCTCTCGATTGTAGCATTTTTCTAAAGCTACCCATAGTTTTGACATTCGAACTTTTCAATTAAAATCTAACTGTCTGACGAAATACATTTGTAATTCAAAGCACCTTTTTTTTTATAAATCAAGGTGGTAAACGAGCAAGCGGCCACCTGAATCCACCGAAATGGAAAGCGACCGCTGTCCATAAACATCCGCAATTGCAGATGGGTTGCCACTGGCTGACATTTACCCATAGGAAGGGGAAATGTCCTCTTTATGTGCGTCTCCTCCTCCGTCAATTAAGGGTAGGCAACCTATCTGCAATTGCGGATGTTTATGTGCAGCGGTCGCTTCCCATTTCGGTGGATTCAGGTGGCCGCTTGCTCGTTTCTACCTTGTATTATAAAAAAAAAAGACATATTTTACACGTCCGATTGTTATCACACAATTTACAATTTGGTGGGACTGGCCCTAACATTTTTAATTGTTGAGTTTACGTTAAAACTGTTTATAGCGGGCTTTACAATCATTTTTATAGAGATAATGTCAATTAAAATGCTAACAAATTTGTAGCTATTGTCACCCCAACTAGCTAATATCTAAAAATTCTATTTATATTACAAAATTGCAATTTCTATTCATTTAAATTTATCAGCATAGCGTGTAACATAAAAGCGTGTAAGCAGCATATAGAAAATATTTTCGTAAGCACCATTGATTTACGTGAAGCAATATACTTGAATTAATTTGAAGAAATATTTTGGTCTTTTAATACATTTTAGTAATCAAAAATTAAATTTTTAAATTAAATTACTAAAGGGCTGTCCCACCACTAGCTGATAGATGTTCAGATAGCTTAAATGACGTCACTGTCAGATAAGGGAACAAAATCCGATATTTCCATCACATATTTTTCACGTTGTAAACGACCATTTACAATTTGGAAGGACAGGCCCTAAATGTTCATTTGCAAATACTTTTTAATGTTTTAAAAAGTAAAATGAAATTTCTTAACTAAGTATTCAAGATATTTCCTCAAACTATAACATACAAAGCAAGCTTTTGTAGTAAATATACATGTTTATACAATATATCCATTGTGGTAACATCATTTTTTTTTTCATTTTTAATATTACATTTTCTTCCTATAACTAAATTTATTGCTCAATGCTCTTTATTATAGAATAGACATACTAACATATTTAAACAACGTTATATATCAAGCCGTATAATAAAATAGTTTTTTTTAAATTGAATTTAAACTCGATAATATTCGAACTAAAAAAGAATATGCAGTAATGGAGTTTACAGAAAAAGAAATCGACTTTTATAATCTAACTTTCGCCCGCGACTCAGTCCGCGTGGAATTAAAAAAAAAGTGTAGACTATCTAAAGTTCTTCTATAGATGTAGAGGATAGTCTGGAAGAACTCTTGGTATACCAAATTTAATCGAAATCCGTTTAGCGGTTTAGGCTACTCTAAAAAACATGCATCCATCTAAACTTTCGCATTTATAATATTAGTAAGATAGAACAAGTAAAAATATATTTTGTACTTAAATTACACTCAGGTCTAATTTATATATCAAAATTAAATATCTCACAATATTGAATACATACAAAGAAACAAGCTAATTGAAAAAACACGATACATAAATTTTCTAAATACAATGCGTGCACGAAAACAGTTGTAGTCTCCGATGACGTCATAGCGTGCTTAAGTAATCGCAAAACACGTGAACATACTATCTTGTCAGAGGATAAGTGGGAGGGGGTGACAAATTTATTACAATTTGTTAGCCCCCCTCTTTGTACGTCTACTTATAGTCTAATATGGCTTAAATATGACCTAAATAAAGGAAGAATAAGGTGTACTAAATTTTTTAAAAAATATTCAAAATTGGAATGTATATTTTTGTCAAAATTATTAAAGTTTAGATTTTTTTTATTACTTTTTTCTTAAGTACATATTTTGTAGTCGCTAAGAAATCATTTAAAATTAATTAAATATTACGATTAAAAAAATATTGCTGTTGTCATATTGCATAACACAATTTCTATTCAAATATACACGATCTAAATAGAATAGATCCTTCAAAATATTCGTTGTAAACTTTTGGTTTTGGTTATAATAAAAACTAAAATTGTTAATAACTAAAAACTTAAGCTTTAGTGAAATCAATTTAGGGTGTTACCAATATATTTTTTTGTCAATAACTAGACGGAGTATAATCCCGACACTTCATTAAAGTCAAGTATCAAGATTAGTTGGTCATTATGAAAGTAAAATCGAATTAAATACATAAAGCTATACTCAAAGCCGAATACTAAAACGAACATTTGACGCAATATTTTTAAACGTCACATTTAAACGAATTCCATTAAAATACGTTATAACAGACGGGCGTTTTCGATTTATGAACAATTACATCTGCCGTTAAATAATTCATTAACAATTGTGTTTTGTTCAGCGACTCTAATACTCTAATGTCCGGTTTCCCAACGTTTAACCATTCGTTAGTGTTATTGGTTCGATAGCTTCAAGAAATGAGTTTCCGAACTACGTAACTTGAGTTTTATTCCGTTAACATAGGCCAAACACTAATGAATCAATAGGTTATGATAAAATAAACTTCAGCAAAGTATAGAAGTTAAGGTATGGAATGCGAGCGGTCTCTCCGGCGCAGCGCCTCCAGCTGCGGCAGCAGAGGGAACTGCCTGTTGAAGAACTCCTCCAGCAGCGGCTCCGTCAGCATCGTCGCCAGGAACTGCTCCAGGGTTATAAACCATTCGCTCTCCGCTGAAGGTTCACTTTCCTTCGACGGCGATGTTTCAGAGGTGGCTTCCTCCATCGTTTGGTTACCGTTGGGATCCAGCTGGAGGAAATATAAACGTTAAGGAAACAGAATTATATTACTATCTGTTCCCGTCTTCATCAACTTATAAAGACTTTAATTTATTTTTTTAACAATTCAAATGCAGAAATGTCAACAAAGATTTTGCTATTGGCTTATTTTGTCCCTTTCCTGCATGATAATTTTTTACAATTTATTCACTGTCTAAATTAAATAGCTTGAATAATACAGCCCATAACATTGTCGTAAGTGTACTTTTATTTAAAACAAAGATAATAATTCTAGAATATGCTACGATTTCTATCATCTTGCAGAACATAAAACGTGCGTTTATACTTTGTTATATTCTTAAGGTGCCTCTCCCACTAGCGAAGGTTGGCGGTCAGTTCTCCAAATTTGACTTTATCTCTTGCGAGACGAAACAGTTGGGTGTGTGTGTGTTTGTGTGTTGTGTTATTATATTTGTTATATTACTATATATTAAAAATTAGACAAGTATTGTAGTAATGTAATTATATCAAAATATATTTAGTGTTTTAAATGAAGTGTTAGTTATAACGTGCGGTTACCGCGAGGTGCGTGTGGCGGTGCGCGGCGGCGGCCAGGTACAGGCTGTCGCAGGACTCCTCGCGGCCCAGCGCCGGCCGCGACAGCTCGCCCAGCTGCAGCAGCAGCGTGCCTGACACACACACACACGGTAGAACCTCGATAAGTTAAAGTCCAAGGGAAACACTAAATATTTTCAGTTATAGAGGTTTTAAGTTATCAAGGATCTATGTTGGTAGAGGTTTTGGGCTCTGATGGAAAGGGAACATATTATTTTTTGAAGTTATAGAGGTTTTTAAGTTACCGAAGTTTGAGTATATATATGTTGGCTTGAGCTAGCACGATATCAGAATTACTACTACTCTAGATCACATGGTGGTCATGGGTAAAGTCGGATTCCAGGAACACATTCACAATGCTCATATAATTCAAACAATGTTCTCGCAACGATCCCTATTTCCAGCATAATCTTAGTTCTCACGAAAGTCGCTTGCTCGTGTTCTAATTATGACTTAACATCAAATTAATTTCTTCTTCTAATTGCGACATAAATATGTATATAGGTTTTTTACGACGTTAAAACTAACGGTTATCGTAATAGGGAAAATAGCGCGAATAGGTCTGTAAGTTAGTTGTAAGAGAATGGACCATCAAGGAATCTGGCGGTCTACCACTTTTTTCATTTTATAATATAAGGTGGCAGACGAGTTTGTTATTCAAAAATATGCTGTAATTGTAAATCTTAGACATCAAAGAAGTGTGTGTTTACGCTTTATTACGATAGTATAGATTAGTTGCTTATGCTCAGTTTATTCCTAAATTTAACTTTATTCCATATTTATTTGTAAGACTATATGTGTATGTGTGTGTGTGTGTGTGTGCGTACCGGCCCTAGCGACAGCTTCGTAGAGCGGCGCGCTGTGCTCGGTGAGGCCGTGCAGCGCGGCCAGCAGGCGCAGCAGGTGCGCGCGCGGCAGCGGCGGCGCGCCCGCAGCCCCCGCCCCCGCACCCGCCCCCGCCAGCCCCACCAGCGCGCACGCACGCACCAGCCCCGCCTCACACTCTGAACACATTAATTACATTCCCTTATAACATCATCATCATCATCATAATCCTCCTTATCCTAATCCCGTAGGGTCGGCACAACAGGTTTTGGTCCTCCAAATAACTAACATACGTCATCTCAGTCATCACTGCCTTTTCGATCATGTCACCTTTCATCCAATCCATCTCTTTCTAGGTCTACCTCTACCGGTGTACCACACTCGTAACTAACGTTCTCCTTGTAACATGTGATTCATTCCTCATCATAACATGCCCATACCACGCTAACCTTTTACTCCTTACCTTCTCCACCACTGGGGCAGTCAAACTTCCTCTAATATACTCATTTCGTATCTTATCCATTTGTGTTACCCCACACAACCATCTGAACATTCTCATTTTTGCCACATACAGTCTTCTTTCATCCGTCCCTGACTGCCCAACATTCAGATTCATTCATCATGACAGGTCTTACGACAGCGTTGTAAATTTTCCCCTTAACTTTAAGGGGTTAAAGCCGATCCCCGGTGCTGGCCCACAGCCACATTGAACTTGTCGGTTACTCCGGCTTCGGACCTGACGTGAGTGTTCGCTCTTTCATACATTGCACTCACGAGTCGCACGTACTTCCCAGCCACTTGTCTTTCTTTCATCGCCCACCACAGAACCTTTCGGGGGACTCGGTCGTATGCCTTTTCAAGGTCAACGAACACCACATGCTAGTTCTTAGGAAGAGATAAATAAAAAGTGAATATTTATAACCTGGCTGCGTGCAAGCGGCGTCGGCAGACTTGTCCATGTACCCCGCCTCGCACACCTGGCTGATGGAGCGCTGCAGCCCGCGGTCACCCCCCGCACCCTCCGCACCATCCCCACCACCCGCACTCTCCCCACCACCCGGACTCTCCACACTATATTATTTTATAAAAAAAATATTTTAACAGTTACGTGTCGTGGTATTGCTGGGGGCGAGCCGGCCCTACAGTGTGAAGATATTAAAGCGCTTTACCACTATTCAAAAATATGCTGTTATTGCTGACAAATACAACAAAGAAATGTTTTTTAATTATTACATTAGCATAGATAAAGTTATATAGCAACTTTGATCGATGAGTAATTGAAAGGAAAAGAGACTAACTTGTCAAAGAAGGAGATGGCGTCAGCGGCGAGCTCCTCCCCGGTGTCGGTGTAGTGCGCGGGCAGCAGGTCGTGCGCGCCCAGCAGCGGCGGCGCGTGCGCACAGTACAGCGCGCGCAGTCGGCGCTGCGCGTCCGCGCGCGCGCTCAGCCCCAGCGCCACGCTCAGCCCGCGCGCGCTCACCATGCCGTCATCGTCGTGGTCCATCAGCTACAATACACAAATCACCAGATTTTCAATTAAAAATCCGACTCGAAGGACCATCCGCCATTACCACTATACCACTAAGGGGTTCGGAGCGTAGGTGACTATGTATTAGTCAACTACACTGGCCCAGTGCGAGTTGACTTCACACATGTTTTTGAATTTCTTTGTTGCAGCGCGTGCATGTACATGTAAATTTATACATCTCATTGCTTGGCGATTCGAGTCCAAAGACATCGACACTTCTTTAGAGGAAAATTACAACATTAAAACCAAGCATTTTTATAACCTTGTATGACTTATATGAATAATATGCAGTGAAATGTTATAAAACGTTATTTGTAATAGAGAGGTGAGATACCTTGAAGATCCTGGCGGTGATGGTGTCGCAGGGGGCGCAGGGCGCGCGCGCCCAGGGCGACAGCGCGGAGAAGAGCGCGCGGAACTGCGCGTAGTCCAGCCGGTACGCCTCGTACGGCGCCTCCAGCCGCTCGCACGGCACGCGCTTCGCCCAGAACAACTCCTCGCGGATCACGCTCAGCAGCTCCTGCGAAACAGTACTATTATCGTAAATGCAAAAGTTTACATCAAATCTAAACGACCGAACGGATCTTGATGAAATTCGACATAAACGTATAGGATAGTCTGGAAGAACACATAGATAGGCTACTTACTTTTGTTTTTTTTTTTTTAATCCCAGTCGCGGGTAAAAATCTAGAATTAATATATTTGACATGCAAAAATAGGACAAAAAAGTAAAAGCCAATGGCAGCAAAGAAGCAAGATTAGCATAGTAATGATAATGCAGAGGCTAAGTGCAGAGTGTGCGTCTATGCGTCGCGGCGTCAATACGTATTATTGTACGCGTTTAACCTACCCGCAGATATGGCGAATAAAAAATGCGTAATGTG